AAGTGCACACCTCCTAAGATGATGCGAAGGTGTGCCAATGGCGAAAGTCGCTTCAGAGAAGACTCTTCAGTACATGTGAGGAAGCCGACCAGTTCCCTTGTCTCATGTCTTGTCAACAAACATGGAAGTAGAAAACATCAATAATCATTGTTGTAGCAAGGGTCATGCAGCGCTGATACAGTCAAGTAGGTGCATCGTTTATGTTCAGCGGAGAACTCGCCCTGAGCAGGCCCTCACAACACCTGAGTGCTTTTAGTTGCCAAAGCCATTCCAAACTGGACTGGTTCCCTTCACAGAGGCCTATCATTCAGGAGCCACAGTCTAGAGTCTAGAGACCCCACCCGAACATCTCTTTGTTGCAAGCACATGTTCCAACTGAGAGAAATCGGAAAAGTGGGGAACAAAAGGTTTGAGCTTTCCGAGCTTTGACTTCGGAAGTGACTGGGGTCGAGGTCACGGCCGCTCCCGCTCCCGCCAGAACCGCCGCTGCAGGACTGCCTACGTTGAATTGGAGAAGAAGATGTGCACATCTCAGAGCGCTCTGAAACATGTTGCAATGGTTCCTTGCAGCCCAAACCAAAGGTTTTTTGGAATTGAACAAGAGGTTCACCGTGGAACACTAGAAACGACCTACGCCCACAGATGGTGATTTGTGTGATCCAAAGAATCGTTGAATCCATGGTTCCCTAAGACTTTAAGACTCTGACCGGCCTGTTTGAAATTGCAGACTCTGAAGGACTCTGACGAGGAAAACCCCATGAAAACTCACTCTGAAGCCCTATAGGGATCCAGTCGTACCTTCGAAAAAAAGGTGATGTGCTTGATACCTGTTATATCGGTGCCAGGAGGGTCCAGTCGTAACGAACCTGAGGTTTGGCACGACTGGATCCCTAGGGAAGGACTCTCACTGGTCACTTGCCATGAAAACCTCCACAGCCAGCGCGGGAGGCCTGGAGAACGAATGGCGTGCCTTGGCCAGAACGACTCGCGTCGTTTCGTCGGCAAGAGAACTGTGGGCTGGTCGGTCCAATGGATTGCCCTGGTGTTTGATGCGCCTCTCAAATAGTGTGGTATATGTTTATTCCACACCTGCCAGGTGAGGGCTGTTAGATTTTATCAGAGCTCTTCTCCTACTTCCTCCTTCTCTCCTCTTCTCCTCTTCTCTCATCCTCTCCGCGTCTTCACTATCGCACCTCAAGTGCCAGCTCCAGATCGCAATGGACTGTACCTCAACTGCGCGTGCATGATCGCAGTGGGCACTACCGGACCTCAACTGCAAGCGCCAGAGTGCATTGGGCACTGCCGTACCTCACCAGCAACCGCCAAAGCGCAGTGGGCACTGCCGGACCTCAACAGCACGCGCCAGATCGCAGTGGGCAGTGCCGGGCACTGCCGGACCTCAACAGCAAGCGCCAGATCGCAGTGGGCACTGCCGGGCCTCAACAACAATCGCCAGGTCGCAGTGTGCACATGTCAGAATATATCATACATGTATGTGTATATATACTTGTATATATATGCCAGATAGAATGTCAGGAAAAGTGCAAGATAGAATGTCAGAACGCACACCAGATAGAGCGCCAGTCAAAGTATTTGCCAACTAGTGGAATGCCAGAGTATATGCCACATAGAGTGCCAGCAATGATGCCAGATCAAATGCAAGCAGTTATGGTAGATAGAATGCCAGCTTTTTTAGAGTGCAAGGATATCCTTGATGGCAGAACAATGTCGGAATACATGGCAGAACACTACCAGGGCTGAAGTTGGTCGATCTGTCACCGTCAGACAGGAAAGATGTCAGAAAACGCCAACAAAGATGTCAGAAATCGTACTGGACCGTTTCCCAGCCTTCATTATAGATGATGTGTCAGAGCACAAGCCTGATTTGATGCCAGAACAAACGTCAGAACATCACGTCAATCCGCACCAATCACCCTTCAGGGTGGGATCACTCGAAGTCAAGTAATCTGTATATTGTTACTTAGTTATTCATTCATATTCAATATCAACTGAACTTTTTGAATCAGGACCCAAAACTTCCCAAAACCCCAAGCCCATGGTGGTTTTTGTTGGGGATGGTTGTTTGCTGATCCTCACCGGTGCACGACCGCGGGCAACGATCGTTCGGCACCAACATGCACATACCCTTAAATGTGTCTTGGATGAGGGTCTCTATAAACATCTATAAACCAAATTTTGGGGATTTCCCCATCTACCCTGAAACCACTATAGACCATGCAGTCTACCCAGCCACCGGGGCAAGATTTCGGTTCGGTACCGGGGTCTAAAATACACCGCCATTATACAGTCATTCGCTAGAAGCCTTCACATGATCATCAGACTGGAACGGATGGACTTGCAACAATTGAAAGCGGGCAGTCCTTCGCTACATGAGCAACCGCCAAAACGTGCAATGACTAATTTAGTAAAGATCGGTCGTGAATCTCAGGAACTGGGAGAAAACCCGCAAAAAAGATAGGCCCCCCTCAAAAGCGATAATCCAATCTCCGCAATTTTGGATATGTTCGACTATGTTGACATTAACAATTGTGGTTGAAACCTGCAAAAACGATAGGCCCCCCTGCAAAGACGACAACCTTGTTGAATCATGTCCTTTGTTTGACAGTATGTTTTGGCATACGCTTACATGGGTGTTGGTGGTGGGTGGTGTGTTCTTCTTTGCAGGTGTTTCAGATTCTATCCTGATGTATGTGTTTGCTGCACTGGCCGAACAAAGAAGAAGACCAACGAAGTTGGTGGCCGTCACCTTGAATCCGACCACAACCATGTTTGTTCAAGTGGCCTTTTGCGTACCATTTTGTTTTCAGGCTTATGGGTCCCTGCTTCAATTGGCTGAGAAGGCTAAGACTAGGCAGTAGGTGTATTTGGCAGAAATCTCGAATCTTGAACTGAAGAGCGTACTGGTTTGATGTTAATAGCTTACCTGGAACTTGATTTGCCTGCGTTTGATTGAAAAAACTTACACCCAGCAAAACCCCCACCTCGCGTTTTTGTCCCCTTTTTATTTTGGCACGCCTGGCATCGCAGGGCCCCGATGATGTTCAGCCAAGTGGTCGACGATACGCAAAAGACTCCGACCTAAGTCGGCCCAGCGCCCAGCGCCCGTGAGGCCTGGGAGACCGGCGGGGGCCAGGAGGAAGCCAGCGGAAGCTGCATGGGTTGATCTGAACCCCCCAGTCCCAAGCAGAAACCAGTGAATGTGTCCACAGTCCCAACCACTTGTTGTGTACAGGATCTCCAGCTATATTGTGATCACCCATGTTGTTATCATTCTGGTTTGGGACTGGGTTTCCAGGTCCAGGTTCGGTGTTGAACCTTGTTGAAGAGCATGATCATTCGGTTCCCGTGCGCGCCTCACCGCACGGGTTCACCGGATGGAGGTCTTCGGGAATACGCAGGTCTCAAGGGGGTCTTCACTGGAAAATGAGATCAAAGATCGACTCCATAATCTGAAGAAGCCGAACTCCATTCACACCAGGTTTAGCACCAACTCATGATAGTTGAAGGGAGGAATAAGATTCAGGGCCTCTCAAGTTCACTGATCAGCGAAGTTCCTCTGCTATTTTGCATTATTTTGCTTTTGGCATGTGTGACCCAAAGATGGTACATTCATGTCATCTAATATCATCACAAGGAGAAGGAGATTCGATAGAAGGAGAAGGCTATAGCAACTGTTGACACCATCAAAGATCAAAAGACGATTTGACTTCATTGTTACTAGCTACTTGCTCCTAGTAGTACGGCCAGGAGCCCTAGTAGCGTCCTTGCACCTAGTAGCGATGCCAAGAGCCCCTAGTAGCGAACATTGTGAATCCTCTCGGACCTTTTCGACTCAGCTCGAGGCGATTTTCGCGGCGCTCGACGACGCAGCGACGCAGTGCAGCAGCGCTTCGGGAAAGAACACATGAAAAGGGTCACTGGCCGGGCTGTGGGATAGTTGTGATAGTTTCGGAAGTATGAAAGGAGGGTTGCTTGAAGCTTGAGAGGATAATTAGACTCATTCATGGATGTTCAATTGCTTTTGCGAATGGTTGGATGTTAAAAAAGATAATCAGAAGATATTAGAAGTGGGTTTGATCCGAATGGACCCAATCAAGGGGCAACCTCGCTTCAAGTTGTCTTCATCTCAGGTCTAAGGGAGTTGGACGCTTCTGAAGAAGGGCTAGGCAGCCTTGTTTTGCAGGCTGCCACGAAAAACTGGCTCCTGGCCGGATCGCGGTTGCATGTTGTTCATCGTGGGAAGCACCGGTGGTTGGAGCATTTCAGGTGGTTCCGCAATGGCTGGGGCCCACAGCGGCTGGAAGGATCGTCGGGTCGCGCATGTGAAGAATCGTTGACTGGTGCGAGTTCCGCGCATTCCTCACCATGATGCACCTCTGGAAGACACCTTGGAGCTGTAGCATGAGGGATCAGTGGCCCTTAAGGGATCAGTGGCCCTTATAACGTTATTTTTCTTGACATAACTTCTAATTCTTGTGGACCAGTTCCATTGGACACCCTTTGGGGCAGTCCTGGTATGTTCCGATGTGTTTCACGAACCTCATACAAAGATCATCGATATGGCCTTCCCCTCAAAGGAAGAAGCGTGGGACATCATGAGGTTGGTAAACAGATCAGGCAACCCATGGAATATCCTTGGTGATGCAAGCAGTGGTTGCTTCATCTCCCTGGTGGTTGTGTCGGGGTTGTTCTGTCAACAGGAGCTTAGGTCTGTGGGGATTTGTTGCAGGCTGTGTTGTGGCACCCCTTTGATGCACTGCACCACCGAAGCAACGCAGCCGTGCTCTAGGCGCCACTGCTGCAGCTAGAGGTTCAACAAAATGCAGGACCCAACAAAACAAGGGAAGGATTGAACATTGCTGCAGCATTGGATTCATGGATCCTCACACAAAGCTGCTCAGACGAACCAGTTCAATAGTGTTCATATGGATTCATACATATTCATACCATGCTCATCAAGAATTAACTAACTTGAAGAACTAAACCCAAATTCATCACTCATTAGCTTGGATTCCAGCACCATGGCAAGATCTTTGCTGGGCCTCCTATTGCTCTTTTGGTTTCTTCCAGCCACCTGGCTAACACCGCAGACACCGCAGACACCGCTCGCGCAGACGCGGCTCGCGCAGACGCGGCGTGCCGCCACAGCGCGGCTTCCGCGGCGGGCGGAGCCTTCAGCGGCAAAGAAGAAGACGCGCGAGGAGGAGAAGGAGCTGAGAGAGGAAATATCGTTTTTTGAATATGTTTGAAGCAGCTGAGTGTTTCTGTCTTGGAAGAAATCCTGTACCACCTGGATGCCCTCCGCACCGAAACCCTCTTCCAGGACCAGCTTTCGGAGAAAGCATGTTCCAAACGGTTCTTGGATCGTTTTGGAAACACCTGCTGTGAAAGACTGTCTTTCGTTCGCATCCCATTGATGATCGAACCCTTGATACCTCGAGTGGGCCCTCAGCCCCACATCCGACTCCGCATGGACGGAACCGTCCCACCACGTGGTCGCCCCTTATAGGAGTCGGAACGAATGGTTGGAGAGTCTGTGGGGGACTACAAAGTGGAGTATCTCGTCTTCCTTTTGGTCTTGGTGGTTGCTGGCACCGTCTTCAACCCCTTCCAGTGAAAACAGGATGAGGACAGAGAGGACGGAGACGGAGACAGTTTTGAGAGAGGGAGATGAGACGACATGTCAGCTACTTCATTGATGTGTGTGTGATTTGCTGTTTGAACTTGATTTAGACAACACCTGCACAAATTTGCATCATAGGGATGGGTCCTGAGCAGACCTCATTGAGATCTGTTTGAGGTGCTTTTCGCTGGAATTGTCCCTTGCGTGTGAACCTGTGAAAGTGAAATACGTGAAAACTATGATTTATTGGGATCAATCAAGGTGGAGGCGTCTATTTATTTATATCGATCCATTTATCATCCTTTTCTCAGAGGCTTGTGGCGGTCGCCAGGAGCGCCGGTGGTGGAGTTTTTTCTTTTCTGCGGTGAGACGATGGTTTGATGTCAACGTGAGCGGTGCGCGGTTTTGTGCGAAAAAGTGGTCCGAGTGCTCCGTATGCCATGGATAGATCATGTCATGTGGGCAGGTGGCTTGCTCCTTTTGTCGTTTTCAGATGTGCATGTGATCTCAAAAACCAGAGCTCCCGGAAAGCTGTGAAGATTGGTCCTGACAGTAGGTGCTTGGCACTGTGGTGTTTTTGAACTAAGACTATGTCTATATACTGAACCCACAAAGACACTTTCTGTTCAATATCCTTCAATGCTTGGAGCTTTGTTGCATGAATGCCTGGCCCAACGTTCAACAGCACAACAGCACCATCCTTAAATGAAGTGTGCACTTGAAGGTCGCATGACACCAATCTCGCAGGTACAGGTGTGAACATGTGTGAAGAAGCTCACTCCAAATCAGTTGTGTTCATGATGTTTGAATGTTTGATCAGTGCGAGTCTATTTCATTTAGATGGCATTGGCATCAGGGAGGGACTTCAGGATCGCGTTGCTGATTGGCAACCAGACATATGAGGATGAGGAGTCGTTCGGAAAGATCAAGTATTGCTACAATGACGTGAATGTTGTGGAGACCACCTTGAAAACTACTTGCGGCTTCCAACATGTCATCAAGTATTATGATGCAAAGAAGTCGGACTTCGACACTCTTCGAACACAATTAGCTCGATGCATCCAAAGTGCAGATCGTGAGTTTGTGCTGGTCTACTATGCTGGTCATGCTGTCACTATTGCTGGGCAGGGGTATTTTATTCCAGTTGACGCCAAAGGTGGCGAAGTTCGCACATACCTCAACATCTATAAGTTTCTACAACCCTTGCACGACTTGATTTCCGAACGAAGTTTGCACTGTTCTCGCCTTGCAGCTAAAGAGATGAGTGCTTACCCTGCCCCTGGAGCTCTTGGATGCTTGATCCTTGATGGGTGCAGGACCCGAGAGCAGGTAGCGGACCCAAATGAGTTGAATCAGGATGAATTTGTGCAAAAGCTTTCGGCAGGCGGCAAACTGTATCCGGCCGACTCACAGCTGTGCATGCTGTTTGATATGTTGCTTGCTTGTGATGAGGGTGCAGAAGCAGCAGAGGATTTGGAAACAGAGCATGGTTTCTTGACTGAAGCATTTCTACATTGTATTCAAACACCCGGAAAGACATTGCCGGAGCTGTTTGATTTAATCAGAGCACGGTGCACCGAACGTAGAAGAGGTAAGCAGCGTCCTTGGTTGCATTCTTCTTCCAATTCTGCATCATTGATGGTGCTCCATCAAATGACACACACGAAGCCTGCCCCTGTGTGTCCTCGGCTCCCGGCAATCGAGCACATGTCATGCCCTGAGTCTGCTGCAGTCTTCCTGAAAACCATTGTTGACAATTTCCAAGCTACAATCAACCGTGAATCATTGAAAGAAGATGGGATCAACGCAAGTATCGAGCAAGTGCGTGCAGTTCTAATGCACTTGCTTCGCTTGCAAGACAAGCTCAAAGAACAGACCTTGATGAATGATGTCATTCACTCTTTGAGGGGCCTGCAAGATCTATTGCCCAAGCATAGAGCTTTGGCCACTTTGGTCACCGAGGCACGTAGTCGTGTATGGCTAGAAGCTGCTCGGAGCCGCTTTGAACAGACTGCTCTTCGAAGTGATGTAGAGCAGTGGATCCAGGCCAACGCTGAGTTGTTGAATCACATTTCTGTTACGGTTGCCTTTGTTGGCCCAACCTCTGCAGGAAAGAGCACGCTCGTCAACTCATACTTCGGACAGATTGTTTGTCCCATGGGAGCCGCCCCAACGTCCCTGCTTCCCATTGTTTTCACTGCCAATGGAGCCCACGCAAACGGATTTCAAGTGATTCCACGGGGAACTGGACTCACTGAACGCCTGGCATTGCAAGGCCAAAAGGAAAACCTCACAGCGCACGAAGCACTCGGGATGATTGCGGAATGCTCCTCATTTTTGAGACAATTGATTTTGGATGGCCAGCTTCGTCTTAAAACAGAACCTGGCTTCAAGTCCTGGCATATGGAAGTGCTGGTACCGGGACCGGCAAAATGCTTTTCCATTGTGGATTGCCCCGGGGGTTCAGAGGGGGAAGAGATTGGGAAAGCGGTGAATAGCTTGCTGCAGCATCAGGCACAAGAAGCATGCCTCAGCGTTCTAGCAACTCAGACCAAGTGCAGTTGACTTTGTTGAAGTTGTGACACGATTGATTGGAGCACACCCTCCAAAAAAACACACATGGCACCTGAAAACTGGCGTAAGTGGAGGAAGCTAGTCTTCCTTGTGGGTCCATTTCAGGTCTTCCCGGGTGCCAGTGGATACTTGAAATTGGAATGGGAGGGATGTTCAGTTGTTTTCGATGTTCGCCAAACCGACCGGCGGGTTGCCAGGCTCAATGTACCCTCATGCTTATGGTTCTTGATAATTGCAAAATAGCAAACTGGGCGCAGGTGGTTTAGGAGCGGGCGGCGATTGCGTCTCACAACTGCAATTTCGCTGAGGTTGTGAAGTCTGATGGCCTAGCCCCTCTCTCACATCATGTCCAGACTTGCGCCTTCTTTGGCGGCTCCATTCCCGGCAAGGACGGCTTTTTTTTTTTGGTTGCCCTGTTGCAAATTTGGGTATAATATGGTGTAACTATGTGTAAATAATGTTGAGCCGTAGTGAGCCAACGGGGTTTGTTTTGCCCTTGTGTTTCCACAAGCAACGTTGAGCAAGGATGTCTTCCTGGTTGCCACCCATGTAGATAAACAGAACACGCGAGACGACACTGAAAAGTGGCTCAAAACAAATTTCACATGCCTGGGAACTGCATTGAAGAGGATGTTCTTCCTTGATTGTAAAATTGCACTGGCTTATCAAATCTGCGATGCAAGGGACTGGCAAGTGCTGCCTGAGCATTCCTCTGAGGAGTTTAAACAGGGCAGCGAAGAGATTGAGCTTTGTGTTGGTGCAGTGTCACCATCGGTTGATGTCAGCGTTCCAGTGGAGTACGAACCTGAACGTAAAGAAGTTTGGAATAAACTTCAGCGGGCTCATCGCAGGTCTTGTTTGCACAACACAGTGTTCAAAGATGAGCTGGAAGGCCACGTTGTAAAGACATGGCCAGATCTATTTGTCAACAAGATCCGCAATTTGCTGCTCGATGACCTGGCAGAGCCCTTGGCCAGACTACAGGGAGACGTGAATGATTGCAACGTGCTGCATCAAGAAGCGCTTCACAACAGGGAGGCTATGCGAGAATGGCTTGATAAAAACCAATGGGTAGCACGCACCCAGCAAGCTTGTCATGCAGCAGAGAAAGCTGCCATTGAGCGTATCGAGTTGTTCTGCAATGTTCTTGATGAAGGACCAGGTGATTGGTTTGACAGAAAAAAGCTCCGCGACTTCTGGGCCCGACTTGCAGATGTGACCGACAATGAGCACATCGCCAACTCCTGCAAGAACTGCAATTGGGTCCGCAGCAGCAGAAGTGAAAAGAAGAGCTTGAAGTTTGACACGGTGACAGACGCAATGCCCTTTCTGACAAGTTTTTCAAACTGGGCCAGCAACATTGCTGAGAATCAGCTATCTTTCCAAATGGATGAGGTCATTCAGGAAGCGCGTGCGCGTTTACATGTGGAAGGCTTGCCCTTCTTAAAGTATGAGGACATGAGCAGAAGCTCCAGTACACCAATTCCCGAAGATGCCATTCAGAAGACCAGGCCAGCAGAACGCGCCGTCCCTGCTGCAGCTGCGTCAGCAACTGCTTTAGGCATCGCTGGGACGACTGGCGCTGCAGGGCCTTTCTTGACAACTGGCGCTGCAGGGCCTTTCTTGACAACTCTTGGTGGTGTGTCGATTCTGATGGGCACTGCGAAATTTGGCGAGCGATTCGTTGTCGATGCCTTGAGTGCTTTACGAAGGCATTTTGAAGGTCATGACGTTATGGAGATTCAGGGCAAAATTTTACGAAAAGTTGCTGAGAAGGAGATCAAAAGGGTTGGGAATGACATGACAAATACAGCGATCGCCAAGCTTGAACGGGCCAAGGATGCATTACGTCGCTTGGTGGAGGATAGAGTTCAATCAGCTGCAAGTGAATTGGAGCGAGCGCAAAGTGTCGTGAAATGTGCCAAGGATGCCAAAGAGCTCTTGGTGAACTATCAAGTCTGATGACAATTTGCAAGACTCTTCCGCCAAAGATGCGAGTGCAAGGAAACAAGGCATTTTCCGCTGCTGTCCGCATATCAATGTCTATCCAAAAGCATGGAACAAACATGGGTTGACTCTCGCTGATGCGAATCGTGAAGCCTATTATTCCCCAAACAGTGTGTCCACACTGAGGAGCTCTTACGGCAGGTGTTTCGATCAAGGTACGTTTTGGCTGCACGGGCTTGCAGAAAAGTTCTGTTCTGAGATCTCCAAATGCAATTTCTCTGCGCAGGGTCGCGCGAAACACTGGCCCCGGGACGGTGCTTGACAGAGGTGCGCTCTCGTTGTGATGCCGTGGGCATTTTTGGACTTTTTCGTAAGGGAAACCTCGTGTGTGCTCTAAAGTCGACTTCGTCAGGTGCAGGAGATCGGAGCAGTTTTTTGTCGATGTCCAGATTTTGTGGCAGGGGCAGTACTTTGGACATGGTGGGGGTCTTCGGCATGCTCTGATTCGTGGCAGGTGCCGTGAATCCTGGCTTTTGGACGTGTGGCTCGTTGTCAGGAATCGTGGCAGGTGCAGTAGTTTGTGGACCTTGAAGTGCAGATTTCGTGGCAGGTGCCGTATTTTTGTGGACCTTGAAATGCAAATTTTGTGGACCTTGAAGTGCAGATTTCGTGGCAGGTGTAGTACTTTGTAGACCTTTCCCAGCTTGCAAACCTCCACCCGCCACCAACACCACCATCGCCGCCCACCACCACCAATGCGTCTAGATCTCTAAACTTTCTGCTGCTACACCTTTAGATCTTAAACACACTGTGCGGGGTCTCTTGCCGGAATAATGTTAACGACCCTTCCTTGCGTGCTGCAGTGCATGTTTTGGGTTCGAAACTCCTTGGGTGACAGCTCGGACCTCCAGGCCGGGCATGTGTGCAGGGAACGCATTGAAGCGTTGTGTTGAATTGGAAGGTCAGCCCATGGGGAGGGCTGCTTCAAGTTGAGTCAGATGACCCCCAAGTGTTCCCTTTAAAAGTTGAAGGGAACACGGACAACACATCCATTGGTTGTTGGTACCCGGTACCATCAGACAATGAGACCAGCCCATTCGCTTCCACAAAGTTGTTTTCTTCTTTGACTTGGCGTCCTGGGCAACCACTTTTATTTAGGCTTTAGTAAAGTAGTCTACGGTATGCTGTATTTGTTTGTTTATCATCAGTATTCGCTTGTGAACGAGATAGGGCCCTTACATGAATGATATGTTTTTGCTTGATGACACTAAAGTAGTCTGAACGAGATTGTGATTTGCTACTCAAGTAGTCTGAAGGAGATACTGTGACATGACCTCCTACTTAAGCAGTCTAAACGAGATAGGGCCCCCCAGATAATAGATAGTGGATAGGAGTTTGGTACCAAATAAATGCCGCTGCACATGCGTCCTTTGCGTTTGAGCATGTTGGGATTAAAATCGGTGTAAGCCTGGAAGGGATGATTAAAGCCCCCCATGTTAGAATGAATCAGAAGTCAATGAGTCAGGAACATCCATCCATCATTGCAACACTGCGTGAGGTCCAGATCAATCGCTATCCATGTCGCTCGTGGTGAGCTCAACATGGTGCTTGAAAGGGGCCGCCCAAACGATGAAACACTTAGTTCCTTATTAAACAAGTGCTCACTTTCCAACATTTGCCTGGTTTTGCCGTGTGTGTGAAACACGCGACAATGCATGCCCCACCTGATTCGTTTGAAACATCTGCAACCGGACATTCTGACTTTGGATTGGCACTCCAAGCATATAAACACAATCAAATACACTCAGCAGTTTGGGTAGGTGAGGTAGCGAATCACAGATCTTCAGCGAACTTAGTCAATGCATAGAGGATCGATGTTGATTTGTTGTGGATCCACTGATGTGTCCTGCCTGTCCTAGTTTCTGAAGATAAAAGAACCCTCAGGTTGGGTTGAGATTCGAGGTTGGTTTGAAGGGGGCAAAGTTCCTAACAAGCATTGCCCAGATACTGCCGAGAAGTGCGGAACGTTTCTTCCGTTATCATAGTGCCATGCAAGTCAGTCCCTGACCTTCAGCTTCACTCATGGTACAACGTATGGACAATTGCCCTGGCTTGGAGGATGGCTGAAAATCCTGAAGAAGTCTTCGAGTTGCACATGGTTACATGCAAGACGGCTACTATCCCACCGGATCCAAGCTTTATATGTCGCCCAAAGGTTCAACATTGATGACGAGGGTCTGGTTCTGGGCTCACTATGATGAACTAGTCATCCCTTACACTATGTTTTGTTTACACCTTGCCACTAGACGGGAGCACTGTGCAGTGAGGTTCCAGTCGAAGAGCAAGAGGTCACTTTGTCGCTGTGTTCCGAGCGGTTCTGGGGAGGGGGTGAGGATTCACAACCCATGTGGGTCCAAACTCCGAAGTAAGTTCCGAGTGCTCCCAGAAGTACTCCAAGAGTCCACCAATGGCCTCAATGGCCTTAACCTCCAGCTCCACCGAAAAACGTCAGTCGTCAGCTGAATGTTCAAGAGATTTGCTAAGCCAACAGAGATATATAAGCAGATCTTACCAACCAACATCTTCAACCAACAATCTTTTGTTGAACATTCAGTGTCATTGGTTGCTTGAAGGAATCAACAGCTCTTGCCAACCAACATCCGAGCCACCTTGAGAACAGGGGTTGATGGGATTTGGTGATTCCGAGCTACTACATGGGAGTCCCGGACACTAAAGTGGAATGACCTTGGGGGGTTTATTTTTGGACGCTCACTCACCTGCTGGAACCCACACCAGTAGACTCAGTAGCTTGCGATTCTGCGGTCATTTGGACATGGGTTCTGTTTCAGTTCTATGTCAATGATGGCCCTATGGATTTGGGACATCAAGCCACGGGGGGTGGTGACACACAGTCAGAGGGACTATGGCCCCAGCAAGTTTGAGGCTTTCGAAGCCCTGAAATGCGATGAGATGGGCGTTCGAAAAGGGTAGACAGGTAGACGTTCGTGGTCCGAGCGGTTTTGAGGTACTTGATCAGAGGGGTTGAGGAGTTGATGAAAAATGCATCCAAAGGATGGAACTGTGTGGAACTTGTGTAGTTCACGGTAAAGTTCTAGAGAAGTTGATGGGTTGGGAACCAGGCTTCGACCCACACACATCTCTTCGATCGCCAGGAGGGAACTTGGATTTACCTCGATGGGAATCATCCAAACAAGCAGGAGACGCATGACACGTGCCGTAATGATCTTGTCTCGATGTGTGGGTTTGGCGCTGCAGAATGGGCTCGGACACCAGAAGCCGACCCGCAGGTTGGATCCTTTTGTTTGAGTGTGTCCCAGAGAAAAATGAAAACAGTCGTCTAGCCATCATTTAGGCATGAAGTAGACGTTTTGAGCGATGTGGCCATCCACTGGGCATCTACCCGGTCGGTCTTCTTCAATGGGTCGTGACCTGCCCCAAAACGGGGAACAGGGTCTTTGGACCCTAAAACCATTGAAGAAGAGCTCTCAACCTCCACAGGAAGAAGGGTATTGGATCCATGGATCTACCAACTGCTGGGATTGGACACCAGCTGAAGGTGCTGAAGGTGCGAAGGTGCTTTGGACCCAACCAGTGCGGTCGATTTCGACGCCAGAAACAGACACCACTCCACGTCCCGAAGAGTCTAAAGATGGACTTGGAGAGTCTAAGACCTGTTTGACTCTACCTAGCGCTTCCTGTCCGGGTGCCCTGTCTGGAGACCAGCTAGTGTGCAGATATCCAGTCTGTTGGACCCCGAACGGAAGCTGGTACAAAGTCCATGGACTCCATCTCATCGCTTTGGTCGGAGTCAATGGGATCGCGTCCTCGGGGCAGTGGCGGCCAGCGCGGCTCGGCACGCTCGACCCGAGGGGGGTGGATCCATAGGCTGTGAAGCAATGTCAGGCAGTGGCTTCTTCGTCGAAAGAGACTGTCTCGTCCGTCTCTTTATATTGTTTGGTGTGTTTTTAAAGACGTTGGCAAAAGGTTGTCCAAGGGAGGCACCCATTGCAGATCTGAAAATCGGACCCCCAAAAAAGCACAAGTGATATGAAGTGATCTCGGATGATGGGATCGAGTCAGCCGCCGGTGTTGCTGCCACGCAGCAATCTCACAGCACTTGCAACGCATTTTCTCGAACAAAAAGGTGAAAAAAAACACAGCCAAAGTTCAACCACAGTTCTACAGCCAAACTCACAGCCATGCATTGCATGGCTCACAGTTGCAAACTCGCTGTAGAGCCCAACCACGGCCACTCACTGTTTCATCGCAGGATGCATTTGCTTCAGAAGAGGTTTGGGCGCGTCGCGAGGCGCCACACATCGACCGTACGGCTCCACACCACTGGCTCCATGCTCTGGTTCGATTCGAGCGAGGAACCCTTGGATGCAAACCTCTTTGCCGTGCTCGTGCTTTTTGGAGGAACGTGAGTGAAGTACCGTCTTTCTTTATTTTGGAATGGCCAATCCTAGCGCCCGAGCTAGGGCCTGGTTGTCTTAGTATGTCTTAGTGGGTCTCGGGGTTGTTCGTGTGACCTGACCAATGTACAGGAAGATGATCCTACTGTATATGTATAATATATAACAAAAAACGGCTGCTTCCAAGGGGTCACAAATCACAAATGGATATCTCCACACTACCTACAGGTCTCCATTGGGCACCCCGACAGGAAGCGCTAGGTATATATATATATATATTATATATATATATATTTACATATTGGAGATAACTAGCTGATATCGTCAGTAGCTCAATGTCGCGTCATATCTATTGGAGACCTTTAAAGATGCCTGATGCATCCTGACGCATACAGACCTCTCCCACACGATCTTGGTATCACTGTCGAATCGGGTGTTGTTGAGTGGGTGACCAGATAAACAGATTCAAGTCAAAGAAGAGGGACAAGAGATTTGGAAGTCAATGGACTCCTATTTGAGGAAAAATATTTGCCTGGAAGCGGCTTCTTTTATGCCCCTCAGCGCTCGAACATGGATTGGGCACTTGCCTTGACGCTGCATGGACGTTTCGGCTTCCAGAAAGCATGTGTTCGCTCGTTTTTAGCGAGGAAGCTCCACATGTTCCATCGTTGACTGCAGGATGCACCCATGCTTCGGGTCGGAGATGTTTGCCGGCAAGTCACCCGTCACCCAAACCGGACGCTGAAGACAGACTCTATGGACCCGTCGACAACTACTGAGGACAACTACTCGGAAAACAGCCCGGACTCAGAGGGCCCATTGTGACCTGAACCAATTGCTGATCGAATTGGATGTTGAATCCCCCCGCACCCAAGCTATCCATCGGTCAGGCAGCTCGGATGCGCCAGATCGCCATTGGCAAGGTGGGGGGTGGAGTGACGTGAGATTCTGCGGCCGGGATAGGCGTTCAGAGTCTGAGGGTTCTCCTGTTTTTTGTGTTCTTTACGTTAGAATTCAGAATGCTCCAATACCTTCAAGAATCGTTTATACCACAGAGGTTGTCAATTATGGAGTCTTCCAGAGACAGGCTTTTCCAAAGACAAGCTACAGCCGCTTCCAGAGATTGCAGCATATCGAAGATTGGATCCCTTTCGGGAGATTGCCAGTGCTGTAGGTGGTTGCCTTGAGACAAAGGGAGCTCTTTGCGCCCCCATCGGGAGTTCTTCTTGAGTCTTTGTGTGGGTGACGATCACGAGTCTCGATCCAGAAGCAGCCCAATTGGCGTTGTTGTTCATGTCCATGGGTGAAGCCAATCCATGGCTGAAACATCATGAAACCTCGCAGCCGCTGGTTAGCTATGAGATCACTCTACCCAGCAACGACTAGCCACACTGCCAAATCGTACGCCTGGCAGGGTTGTGTTTGCCATGTGTTATCTATAAAATGGTTAGACAGACACCTCACTGTGAAAGGCAAGGGGATAGTTCAAGGTCTCTCATTCATCATCATCCTAGGATTCCTGGCCCGCCATTAATAGCCCAAATCCTGTGAAAGTCTTACTAAGGATTTGACATTACAAGACCAGGTCGTTTCGTGTGTTTTTCTGTTTTTTGTTTCTGAAGGCGATCGGGATCATCCTCAGGGCATATGTCTGTCCGATGAGTCACTGGTGGGAGGGGAGGAGGTCAGGCAGATCTTTCACTTAAACTGAAGAGTTCACCCTCTGTTGGTCCAGCAACATCGTCTTCTCAGGGATCATTTTGGTTCAGTAGCTCGAAGCTACTAGTAGCTCCTGGCATTACTACTAACTAGGAACAAGAAGCTACTAGTAGCAGGGGCATCGCTACTAGTAACAGTTTAGTTTTTAGTTCCACTTCGATTTGTCCGAAGACTCAGGGGGGGTTGAGCCTTAGTAAGCATACCCTTGTTGACGTCCTCATGAAAGCAAAGCTGCGACCGGTAGACCCCCCTTCCCTCATCCGGATCGCTCCTGGTAGGCTCGACCCGAATACCGCCGCTACGTGGCGGAGGAGGGATGGGACGGGAGACGGGAACGTGGAGGTGTGGAAGGAGGGAACGGAAGGGAAACGGATCAGCCACTGCGCTCTCCGTGATGACACGGATCAGCATGTGCTAGGTCCTCCACTGCGCTCTTTTCGAGGGTGATGCGTTCGATGACGATGTAGGCAGTCGCTACAGTGGGGCCCAATCGTAGAAGCTGAGGTTTGGTGGATCTGTGGATGGATGGATCAGCTGGACTGCCGTGAACCGCAGGTCCATGTGATCTGCAATCCGTGATCGGCCCAGGCGAATGAATCTGCTGGATATCATATGCATGTGAATATCAGACCGCGCAAGTGGCATTTTAAGACCTAGTAAGCTTAGCAAGGATTCTGTCCGCAATTGATGGGAGTAAATGAACAGAATAACAGAACCCAGTTGATAGCAGCATAGTCCGGAAGGTTGCTGCTTGGAAACATAAAGGGACTTATCCTATCTTATCCTGCCTTCCCCCAGCCACTCCAGCTGGGTTTGTAGGACACCCCCAGAGCTGCAGCTGCTCGAAACTGTTGCGCCACATCGCAGGTGCCATTCCATCAACGGGAGCCAGCAGGGCACTCAGGTGAGACAAAGGTGGGGTGGATCCTGGGGCAACGTACTGTACTAAGTCTTACTGGTGCATGTAGACTCTTGATTAATAGCTTAACTTTGGAATTTGGATTGAATAATCTCTTCATGGGTGTATGAATCAGAGTCTACATGTTCACATTCTTGTTCACACCTTCACGGTGCCTATAGGGTGTACTCCTAGACCCTTATTGCTAGCAATAACTTGTTAACAATGCTTAAACCCTTTGCAGCAGGGAAAAAAGAACACTGGCAAGGTATTCGATTGAAGATTTTCACCCTACGTGGTGGATCAGTGATAGCTGAGACCACGAGTCAGCTCGCTCTCATGCGGCGACACCCCCACGAACTGACACCCCGTGACGTGCGTCACGTGGAGGATCACAGTGACCCACGCCATAAACAGACAGGGATCCACTCTGAGGGTGGTGGATCTGTTTTCCCGGCTGCGAAACGGTGGTTTTCGTGCTGAAACCGGTGGATCAGGTTTTTGTGCAACATGAAACAATCAAGCAAGACGTAGTTCGAACACCGTCACGGGTGATCAGCGGTTTTCATTAGGTCATATTAGGTCCATGTTTCTGCGTGTCACCACCTGAGCATCCACTCAGTAGTTCCAGTAGTTTCGACCGCTAGAGTTTCACCTCAGAAAATGAGAAGAACAGTACCGGGTTCTATCGGCTCATGAGTGGCTCATGTCCCATTTTCTGCACTTTGAGACATCCGGGTGGACCATCTCATCTCGCGCATCTCCGCGCCATCTCCCGCGGACGGTCCGCCCGCCGAATCCCAAGGCGGATCCGAGTACGCCGAATCCCAAGGACGGTGCCGGCCACCGGGGGCGAAACGGGGGCGAAACGGGGCTTCGGTGCAGAGTCTCCTTGAGTCTCGGAGTCGGTTGGGACGGCCAGGAAAAAAACCTGGCCGTCCACCTGGACGTGAAGTGCTTAAAACATTGGTTTGTTTCTTTTGAATTGGTACCAAGTGGTCAAAACCGATCTGAGGCCACGAGACATGACATGTGCACTCTTGTTGGTGTTTTTTACCATCCAGGAGATTCCAGGGGTAGTAGTTCCAGGGGTGTCTTGTGTTGAAACCCGGGCGGCCCAGCTGGGTCAGCTCAGTGGACACGGAGTCAGCAAAAGATGTGTTTCTGCGCCAGGATCGGGTTTCCAAGCGTCAGTTCGACCGCGCACTGGGAGATTGGCCTGGGTCGACCCAGTGGACAGCAGCGCAGCGGGGTGGGAAGATCTGGAACTGAACCGTTTGGAACCGAACCCTGGAGGTGCCATGAAAGTTTGGGAAAGTAGATCGATTTATATCGAGTTCAATCTTCAGACACTCCAATGCAACTACAGGTTGCAATGTGTTGGATACCATTCTGGTGCGCAAGCTCACGGAGAATTGTTTAATTTAAGGATCCACTTGGGAACTCCTTAACCCTCTACAATCTCTAGGTTGCCGCAAAAAGCTCTTGGCAATCCAGGTGTTATGTTTGACACTTCTCCTTGGCAGAGCTTCTCACCTCAAGCAGCATCAAGCTTTTGAGCCACAGTTTGATTGAGAGGATGTAAAAGGGGGCTATGGCAACCTTCTATGAAGAGCTTGGAGTGGAACCCGACATTGATCAGACAGAGTTGAAAAAGGTGCTGAGAAAGAAGGCTTTGGAGTACCATCCCGACAAACATGCAAAGGAGGAGAACGAGAAATGGACTGAGAAGTTTCAGCATTTCCAGCAAATGATGGAGACCCTTCAGGATCAGAGGAGCCGCCGTGTGTACGATGAGATCCATCTTAGGCTCGAGCGCACAGCTCGCGTTTTGATTTTGATGGACATGAATGGGAGCTTGCTTTGCAAGCTTGGGAAGCATGGCAAGGATGGTCGACCAGGGCAACGAGCTGGCCTGCCGGACTTCAAAGACAAGAACAACCGCTTCTGGATCCGACCACATGCGGCGGAATTCTTGGAAGCCATGCTGAAGCCACAATCAAAGATTGCTTTTGCCATCTACACCAGCAGGCAGATGCAGAATGCGGCGCCGCAGGCAGTCATTCATAGCTCATTTTTGTTTTTGATAGTAGGGTGAATATGGCGAATCACAGATAAGCCTGCAAACTTCAGTCAACATCATACAAGTTGCTGTATATCAGCCCATGACTACATACTACATAAAGGACGGGCAAACCTCACTGTTTTTGTTTACTCTCGTCAGGTGATGATGCTCTTTGATAGGCTTGGACTTCGTTCTTTGCAGAAGAACCTCTTCGCAATCTTCGCAGGTGATGACTTCTCTGTGCCTGATCCCGATGCAGGGCCATACAAATCCAAGCGAAGCCTTCCAAGGATCTGGAGCGGCCGGGCGTGTGCAGCTCGGGGTGTGAAGTTTGACATGTGCAATACGGTCAATTTAGACAATGAAGTCACCAAGCTTCGAGAACACATGGCCAACGGACTGGTGGTGCCCACCTTTGGACCAGCAGAACTTGGCAAAGAAGATGATACCTTGCTGGATCTAAAAGACTATGTGACTCGCTTGGCCAAGGAATGTCATGGTGATGTCCGTGAGTATATGAAGCTTTTTCCTTTCCGTGGTGGAAGCTCTTTGATGCGGGCGCTCCCTCCATTGTCCGTCTTCCTTGATGAAGTGCCAGAAGTGGACGAGGTGACCAAGGGCCTTGCCAAAATCGATCTTGGTGCGAAACGAAGCGAGAAGCCAGAGACAGAGGCTCCTCAGCTTTGAACTGGCAGCAAGATGTGGCCAATTGAACCCGCTTCTTGAATGTGTCACAATGGAAACTGAAAAGGCTGGGTGTGCACGCGGCATGTTTTGGTTCTCACCATTCATACTTTTGCATTTCGGCAGGTCTCCATCACTGGATGTGAGGTCGTAGAGGAATGACTTTTTGAAAGAGGGGAATGTTGAATTCAACAGTGTATCCTCGTTCATGCTGCCATCACTGCTTATGTGGTACAAACCTTTCTGATGCCTCTCCATTTGGGGCATGTTTGTTGGCTTATTTGGAATGTAGAAGGACAATTGGATTGTAGGATTGTATTTGTTGTGCATAGTTCATAGTTGCATCAAGTTGCAGTGAGTGTTCTTAGTTTTTGTTTGTTTTCTTTGGGATCTTTTAGCATCGTTTGGCTTTGAAACTCTGAGTGGTTTCTGCACTATATAATTTGCTTCAACTACGTCGTGCTTATATAGTTGTGTTTTGTTTTTCTGTGTGTTGAGTGGATCAATGAACAATTCATACAACCTCTAGACTCTAGACTAGACAGAACCATGTATCTATGTCTCATCTTTCATTTGTCCAGGGTCTACGACTTCCGCTCTTCAAGTCATACGATGTGTTAGCAAGCAAGCGCAGCTTTTCTCCCGGGGCTCTCTCTCTCTCTCTCTTTGATGTCCTCCAACCTAGTAGCGATGGCCTCCAACTATCATCGTCAGCACCTCAGAGCCCGATCACCAGGCGTCGTCGCTTGCACGAGTACGATGCCGGACATGAGGAGCCCAGGCAGGTTGGGAACTGAAGAAGGCGGACAGATGAGAGGGGTGGATGGACGTCATTCTGTTGGTTTGCAACCTAATTACATTGGCACCAGTATTTGGTTTATGTTCTCAATGATTGTGATATATAAATATAGTGTAAAGGTTTGTTGAAATTTGTTGTGGGCAATTGCCCGTACACACGTGGAAGATCGCCAGATTGTTCCAGAGGCTTCTTTTTGCCAGGCACTGCTAGGGGTCACTTGATGATGAGTTGTTTTTGTGTTTTGGGTGACAGGATTCCTGTTTGTTTTTGTTAAAGCTTGGCTAAAGCAATCTAGAGTCTACAGAGTACCAACCCAGATTTCCGCGAGAATCTTCCCACATGTTTGCTCAATCTGACATCCACTAACTCAGCAGAAGATCCATTTACAACGATGAACACAGTGTAGGGCGTAGCTATGGCGTAGCTCCGCAGTTCATCCTTGATTGTTTCAGGGCCCAACCATCCGTCCTTGAAGCACTTAGTACCCTAGCTTGCCAAGATCATTAAAGTACAGGATTGACGCTGTACTGTAGTGTAACATCCTTATAGTAATGCAATGCTTGCTCAGTCAAAACCATCGACACACCATTACAGTATCTCAATGGTGGGCCAGGAAGCCTAGGGAATGCTAAACCAGAAACAGTAGTGATGATTTCGTCATGGATGTGTTTTTAGAACTCCACACACGGGTCTCGAGGGATGTCCAGACTGGGCCTTTCATAGAGCAGCTATTTGAGCGGTTGCTTGGTTGGTTTCACCAACAAATTCATCAAGCTAGTGAACTTGAAGAGGGTACCTTCTGGTGGGGTGCCAACTAACAGAGCATGTGACATGTAGCGCAGAGCCTTGAGCCTTGCTGTCGAGGGCGAACGTGTCATTTTTTACATGCGAACCTGTTACAAGAACATGGTTCCATTACAAACGAATTCCAGAAGATGGTCTTTGCATCCACATGGTTGACATTGTTTGACTGTCTCATAGCTAATAGCTTAGCTATTTGTACTTTTGTATGCATAGAAGCAAACCCGGCTTATCCTGACTGTCTGGTACCCACTCATGACAAAGCCATGGAGATCATCGTGATATTGCTTTTGCCCAGCACAGAGGCTTTGCTCAGCAACGCTGTGGCATATGATTTTCGCCTATGACCACAGACTTTCAGACTCCCTGACGACATGTTGCGTGCATCATCACACAATTCCTCCTGGCTGCCGGGGGTCTCCAACCAAACCACCGTACTTTTGCACGCGCGACCGCTCGCGCCGCGACCGCTCGCGCCGCTCCGCATCGCGCCGTACCAGGTCCTCTTCCGAGGGTCCTGTGCAGCCAGGTGCGTATCCCGATTCGGCGTCGATGCCAAGACTGGGTTTTGCTCAGTTTGGAAGTTGTTCATTAAGGACTTGCATTGTTTTTACAGTAGGATAATGCTTACCTAGTATTAACGAGAAATATAGTTTACTATTAGAATTCTTTGTTATTTATTTTCTTTTTGGCTAGTATCTATTATCTTCTGGTCCATGGTGAAACTGATCTTCTGATCCACCCCTCCCTGTTAAAACACAAAAAAAAGACTCACTAGCAAAGTTATTTCATTTTCCCTTATTAAAACCCTATCAAAATCTTAAGGTGTTCAAGCTCACAAAGGGTACCCCTCACACAGGCCCCCTCCCCCTATTAATCAAGCCCACCCTTTGGCCTCCATCTTGTCTTCCATCTCTTTCATCCTGCAATCCTCATTCTGTTCCTAATTATCCCAATTAAAGAAATAATCTTCTCTTCCAATCTCTTCATCTCTTGCCTATTCATCCCAATCCCAATCTTTCCTAATCTTGTCATCATCTCATCGTTTAGATTTGAGCTTAAAGAGAGGGCAGGCCGTTGAGTGATCCGACACCGACATTATTGAAATTATAGTGACTACAGGTCTTTATTCTTCCGTCAGGTCCAGGCGTACCTGCATGAACTGTTGCTCATCATCCACCAAGAAAAGGGGATTGAAATGAGTTCCACAAACCCTATAGATATGGTTGATCAATGCCCTTTCCATGCAATGATGGGCAGCCCAAGGCGTCTTTTGGGATGAAGACTAGATTTTCCCTTAAACCAACACGTTGACTGGGTAGATTCATGGGGGCGGTATAGGCAACAGCAGCCCCGTCCCAAAAACAACAGCCGGTCTATTGATTCAAGTCACTGGTTGTTTGACTCATTGGTCTTCCTTGAAAAGGAACCATATTTGATAAAGAACTCTGAACACCATGCCGACGAAGAACATGCTGACACAGGGTGGTCAAAAGGATTTTGCAGGTCGCACAGCGTGACTTTGTGGCGGGTTTGCATGAATTATCAGGGTTTACACCCAGGAAGATAAACAAAGAACATGCAAAATGAACCTTTGGAAGACGATTTTCCTCTACAACTCAGTGGTTTTCAGGTTTTCATGTGAATCTTTCAGGGTGAAGTTGAGTCCGGACAGTCCGTTTGTTACATCGCACATCCTATCCGCAATGAATGGTGAGTCCGGACAGTTCGGACGGTGGTCGTTTCGACCGGCCAGGAGCCATGAACCGTTCGCTGGGGGCCACAGTTTCTATCCCACCGAAACGAAACGAAGGTACGACCAGAGGCCTAGGGTATGTGTGCGTTTGAGATTTTGCAAGACCAAAAGGGCCAGATGGTTGGGGGGGGGCCGCGTTTTGTGAATCAGGATACAGGCCGATGGCCAGGCTTTCCGTTTGCTTTCAGATGATGGTTAATTGAGATGATGGTGGCCGGAGGGTCAAGTTGCTGAAAACTTTTGTGTGAGAATCTCAGTCAGATCCTACTTGATTAAATTTGTATGATGCCCAATAGCAAAATCTAAGTTCTTTGAGCTTTGGGTTTTTGAATCGCTAGCGACCTGTTTTTGGATTTGTGTACTATTTGTGCGCTCTTGAAATAGAGAGTCCTTGGCATTATATCCTTCTTGTCCCGGAGGATTCAGGACTGACCCTATTTCCATCAATAAAGATGCTGAATTGGACACGGCATGTCTTCCTTCTTGGAATATGAGACGGGACCAAAAGAAGCACGGAAAAGGATTGAACCTGTTCATAGTTTCCCCGCACCCTCTTAGACAGCGGGGCCAGCTTGACCGAGTGTGCTGCCCAGGTTCCTTGGAGGCTGGGCACGGAGGAAGGCAGCCAGGATGGCAGGTAGAGATTTTCCAAAGCTCGTGGTAGGGAAGGAATGTGAGGATTGCAAGATACCTAGCCCTATATAATTAATTGATCATACATTAATGATCATACATGAATTATATGTCTTATACACAAGAATATAGATCCATGCCATGTGTGGATGTGATCTCATCCACATCACAGATCTCTCACGACAGATGTCCACGGCAGATCCGGGTCCGACGAGCGAAACCTCACCTCCACGCCGCGCCCACACGCGAGGTGAGTCGCTACCTCGCCACGCCGGACCTCCACCGAAGTCGCCACTCGGGCCGCACGGGTCAAAGCGAGTCGGTGGCTGAAACGGATCGGCGAGAACACGCAGTGAGGAGATGCACTGGATGTTTCTTTGTCCGATTCGGATGTGGAGAGACGGATGAAATTAGGAAGATGCTGAGCTGTCTTTCTCTCGGGGATGGTCACTGCATTGAAATCAGGATGAAGAGCCGGTTGATGCCCGTTGCAGGATTTGTGTTTAAATATGTTTTGTCAAAGTAGCGGGCCCGGCGCACGAAGTCCGGGACGTACGAAGCAAAGACGGAACGCGACGCGTCCCACGGCCGTGCCTATTTTAGCAGCAATGCCCACCCATCTTGAGTGGATCGAGTTGCGGTGCAAAAGGAAAACAGCTCGACCGACCATGCTCAACTCAAGTGCTCAGCGTGCACTTTACACAGGAGGAGCGCTATCGGCTTTCATGCCGGTCGAGCCAGGCCAGAACCAAGGTTCTTAAAGATGCATCAAGGTTCTGTTCCACCAGGTCAGGCGGAAGGATGCGCAAGCTACACAGATTGCAAGCTGGAATTAGCTGCTGGTTCTGGGTGCTTCTTCCTTCGAGGGATGTGCAGTGTCGGGTCTTGTGCCAGCGGTAGCCATGTCTTGTGACCCAGATCTGCTGGTAAAAGGGGCATTCGTTCGAATGCTCGTCCATCTGCCGAAGTGCTTGTCTCAGGAGGTTGGAGGCTTCACTCAGCAGGCTTTCGGTG